AGGTTTCTTGTAGAGAAAGAAAAATGTCCTAAAATTAGATTATAGTTTCAAACTCCTGTCTTTATACTAAAAAGTTTTAAATTGAACACTTTTACATGAATGTATGGCTACTTGAGTCATAGCTCAATAAAGATAAAACTAGAGGAAAGGAATTGGATAGAGTAGAAAGATTAGTTTTATTTTATTTATTTAAAAAATTTTAAATGTATTTTATTTAACCTAAAATATTTCAAACAAATTAAAAACAACAACAACAACAGCAACTTCCTACCTATCATAGAGTTGATCTCAACTAACAGTGACAGAGTAGAACTGACCCTGTGGGTTTCCAAGACTGTAAATCTGTAAGAGAGTAGAAAGTCTCATCTTTTTCCTACGGAGCAGCTGGTGGTTTCAAACTGCTGATATTGTAGTTAGCTGCCCGATTCATAGCCCGTGACACCACCAGGGCTCCTTATTATCTCAATGTACACACAATATATTGAAATTGATCATGAGTGCGGTTTTTATATGTTTTTAGAAAGCGAGTTCCTCCCTAGCTGTACAGGACAGAGTCTATAGAAGCCGATCCCGGGAGTGATAGCTTGTGGAGGTCTCTGTGGAAGGTTTCTTCGGTGCTTCTCGTTCTTCCTCTGTGAAATAGGAAACGGAGTGAAGGGGAAGGAGGCAGCGCTGACAGTTTTACTTACACAGGGGATAAAACATTTGCCTGTAAGAGTGGATGAGTAAATGATTTGTGCACGTGGGATAGAACAAATGGACATTAGCTCTCAGATTAGTTATATTAATGATGATGTTTGATAACATCCGTATTTTGCGTGATGGATTTTTTTTTGAATAGGCACAGAATGTAGACCTCTCCATCTGGTAGACCAGGTAGCTGCAGTCCACATTTCGTGATACACCTGAGTAAACCCTTCCACCATTACACCTGTTTTTAAAACCTCCTATTTGGTATTCCATCAGATCCTGGGGCCTTGTTTGCCTTCAGTGTGACTTGAACATTGTCCTTCAGTACCAGGGGTTTTTCATTTTATGCCACATCCTGAAATGGTTGAATGTCAACTAATTCTTGTATTAAATACTTTTACTGGGGGTTCTTACATCTTTTATCACAATCCATACATTCATCCAGTGTGTCAAGCACATTTGCACATACGCCGCCATCATCATTTTCAAAGCATTTTCTT